CGATCCCAATACGAAGTTCGCGAACATCAGGGATATCCATCGGGCTCAAATCGAAGCGGGTGAAAAGGAGGTTATCACGGCTGAATCCAGCGACTCTGAATGCCCTAGTGAGGCTGGCAGCTGTATTGTAGTGGGTGTGGTTGAGGATCAATAGTTAATAGTAATGAGGAGGTTGGGTTGTGATCCCATCGTTTTTGTGGTGCCAGAAACAGGGGGGTGCCAGGAAGTGGGTATGTTGACTTAGTACTTAACAAGGCTACTTACGAAACGGTAGTTATAATCGAAGGTAGTAATGCCTCGTAAAGTTAACCTACCTAAATAAGCGTTATAAATCCTTAACCTCGTTTATAAACTACCGCTAGTATATCGCTACTAGCCTTTTAAGCAAGTTAATTAGGCAGCTAGGCAGCTAGGCAGCTAGGTAGCTAGGTAGCTGGGCAGCTGGGCAGCTAGGCAGCTAGGCAATTAGGCCAATTAAGCCAGTTAGGCTAATTCGATAAAATCGTCGACTTAGGCTAATACGTTAACTTAGGCTAACGCGTCGATTACTATACTTTTTACTAAAATAATTTAAGTTAATTAACGGCCTCTAATTAGCTTAACCTACTCGAATACTAACTACGCAGAGCCTAGCTTATATATATACCCGAGACCGGCGGTCGTGTGGCGGCCGTAGCCATACTTAGGGGTAGAATAGCGGGAGCTGCTGGTAGAATATCCTCGCCCTTAACTAATTGTCGTGCCATTTCAAGGACGTGGTCACAGGTTGTGAGAAAATCCTGTTTCTTATAGTTTTGGCGTGAATACCAAAAGACATAGTGTAATAATTATGCCCATTGGTGACTCAACGCTTGTCGGATCGCACGCTATGGAACATTGGAATCATAGATGGGGTGTTGTCCAGTTTCGTTCTTAATTGAACCATACTTCTCACGATCAAATAAGGGCTTTCTGTCTATCTAACTTGATGACCGAGGTGCAGCCATGCCAAGGTTTTAATTGCTGCGTTGCTTTTGTTGAAGGCCTATTACTTCAACTGAGACGCAAGCTCTACATGTGCTGTCGCTGCAAGTATCTGAATTGCGATTTATTCATGCTTTATAACCTCGAACCAGTCTTCTTTATTCAAAGAGATCCCATATCTACTATATGTCGATGGGTAAGATAACGATGGACGCTCAGATTTGAATCTGGAAACCATTGCCACTGCCTCATTACACACTGTTATGCAACATCTTTCCGCAGGTATGTCAGAGAATTCTATGGCTGACTGGATGTGTCAGATTGAGTGATGCTATTGGAAAGAGTACCTTCCACAGACTTTATCATAAGAGATGTTGCGTCATTTCTTCGTTAAGCTCTCAAGGTAGATGTCGTCCCTGAGTACTTTCTCTAACTGTAAGGGGATCGCTCCGAGGGAATTACTGGTCTTATGGCACTCCTGAACCTAACAGAGTTACGGCGCTTTACATCGACCGACATTGAATTAATAGGCTATGTGCCTCTAAGAGCTAAGAAGGGGGATTTAGTATATATCCTATATGGGTCTGAGGTCCCGTTTATAGTCAGGTAGGAAGCTAACGGTAAATACGCACTTGTGGGAGAGTACTATATACATGGAATTATAGAAGGGCAAGCAACGAGAATAACAGTTATTAAATATGAGGAATAAGTATTGAGTTTTATTCGGATTATAACATATTTATAAATCAGGACGCTTGCCCGGTGTTGTAGAGGCGTACAATATTCGCCGCATAGCCCGCGTAGGCCATGAGGTGGACTTTAATTACGACGAGATAGTAAGGACGAGAGTATTAGGCTGTTAGGATTAATTAGACTCCTAACGAGTCGTTTTATTTCGACTATTTCCGTATTCTTCTTCTACCTAAGTAAGGTATTAACACGTGCCTATGCCAGTCCAGGAAGTGGACGCCGGGGTCTCTAGTAGGGATCTTAAGCGCTACTCTTATAATACGCGACTTCGGATATTAAATTATAAGGATTTGGCTGTTTTTTAGAATAAGTGTGAAACCGTAGCTTTATACTGCCCGACTTTGGATCAGAACTCATTATTTGACCTTTAGTAGCAATATTAAACAGTGTAAGGAGACATCTATTGATCATTAATTATATATACTTCATATTCTCCTTGTATATGCGCCGCTCCTAAGTAGCCATACTAAGAGTTCTGATACTTTGATATACCTCTATAGCCTAGAGTATAGTTTGAAAGAGATCTAGAGGCACCTTAGCAAGAACAGCGTCCAGCAAGCTATTGCGGCCGTCAGAGTAGGTAATTTAAGCATAGGTATAAGTGAGCGAGATAAAGGAAGCTCGGCCGCCTGGCTGACTATTTTGACCAACAGGCTGCGGCTGTGCCGTCACCTTGATTAGTGCAGCAAAGTTACTTCCACCGTCCAAAGATACCGTCGAGGAGACATCGAGAATACCTGACGAATTAGTGCGCCACATGACACCAAGGAGGCCATTCGGACCAAAGTCGAAGGCAGGGCGCTGCGCATCGGGAGTCTAAATAACGGCTGGACCTGTGAAATTTTCGCCTGCGGTATCTGTGATGTAAGTTCCCGGCGTGAAGTCGCGTGGAACCATAAGCGCGAAACGACCCGTTGAGGTAGGGTCTGTGGACACCCACAGCGTCGGATCACTAGGAATACCAATGTCAGACTTGGCCAGTATGGGGTCGGTGCCGTTTGCCACGAAGTTGCCTCGGCTATCAGTCAAGGGAAATGTCTCCCATGTCACGCCTTCGTCATGGCTCACGTACATCTCTGGGTGTCTGTTCAAGCCCTCCGCAGCCGAAGCCAGAATGCCGTCGTAAACTGCAATGGATCTGCCGGGAAATCCACAGATTGGAGGCAGGTCTGGAATCTGATAGTTCGGGCAGACGTCCACGGGACCGGGGATTTGATTGAAAGCAGCCGAGGTCTCGCCTCCGTCTGAGCTGACAGACACAGCTGCTGGGTATTCCCAAGACGATGCACTATTTGCGTACACCTTTCCCGTAGCCACATCGACCCGTAGCTATTCGCGCCTGGCATATGAAGCGGTGTCACAGATGGAACGCTCGACGTGTTGCGTCTGTCAATGGACTGGGACAACTGGGGATGAGCGGTAATGTTATCTTCCAAGCCGGAGAAGACCTGGTTGTTGAGAAGATAAAACGTCCCATTCGCGTCGGCAAAGACCTGTGGCTCGCCACACTTCGGCGTGGCACCTAAGGGGAAATCCGCTGTGACGTTATTCCAGGTGGTTCCGCGGTCGAGCGTATAGGTAAGAAAGCAACGCCCAACGAGCTCAAGTTCAGGTAGAGGATGGAAGCGTGTCGACACGAAGACAATATTGTCGGCTTTTGTGGGGTTGACGGCGATGACCGGCCGGTTGGCCCTCACGGGAGGCGGTGCTTCTAGTCATGTTCATCTCGTGGATTGACAACGCCCGCGGTTCGAGGAGTCGTAAACTGCTACTGCGAACCGCTGAATTGGTGCCAAGGTTGCCAAAAGAAGAGGCCTGCAACGGAGTAGATAGAACTGAAAGTCCAATCAAAGTCTGGGCGAACAGGAGGAACATTCGAAGAAGACGATTGGTTCGACATCCTCGCAGCATGCTGGTTCTAGGCCAATGACTGCCTGGGGACATGGTTGTTCGAGCCATGACGATGTCGCCTGAAAGGGTGGAAAAAATTGAAAGCGAAGAAAGCTTTGATTTTGCTTTTCGAGAAAACAAAGCTGCGAGCGAATGCTTCGAGGAAGTGTATCGAACGTGGCTCATGAGAAACCTGTTTGCCTTGGAGAGTGAGTATTTGTACTACATCGATATATACGTTCCAGTTTATGTCGATGTTAATTTGTATGGTGCTTGATTTGGGTGCGTGCCTCTCACAACATACCTTACAGTTTAATCTCGCATTTCGCATTTCGCATCACGAATTCCGCACTTGGCATTGTAATTCCTGCCAAGCCAAGCTCGACTTTGCCACGTCCGCCTCCAATACGATAGTTTGCATAGGCCTGCAGAGGCGATGCTACGCTGTTGGAGTGACCATAAGAAAACGACGGGGATGATTTCGCAAATCAGCTAGAGGATGGAAGTTCTAGTGAAACTAGGTATCTTTGGCCTGTAACTACCGGACCAGCTGTAGTCTTCCGGATCAAACGCCGGCAAGGCGCCGGCCGCCATAAGTGAGACTGGTCGGCCCTGGACCGGCTGCCCAACTGAATACCCGCTCGACCCTCCGAGAGCCTTATTCGTTCGCTCTCACCTCAAAAGACAGCATTCGCCAGGCATGTATATGTCGAATATGAGCATGAAGGACCCAGAAACATAGAGAACAGCCGCCACCACACCATTTCTCTGACTACCTTACATGGGATCAAGGCGGTTGGCGACTGATTTTCGAATCAAATGGAACACCTCCGTTCAAGTATTTGGCTTGGACGGTCAAAGCGGTGAAGGAGAGAGGCTGCACATGGTTTGTTAGGTAGTATGTAGTCTTTGACATATCGCCATTCATCTAGTAAGACCTCTGAAAGATGCGGAGTGTTTATTGGTCTTCATTGCAACTCCACACCTCCCAGAATCCTCTACCACAATCATGGTTGATCGAAATTCTCCATGTTGTTCAAGAAGTTTTTATAATACTTAAATCACTATTGTGCAGTTGAGGATGGTCTGTTTGAGAGACTCACAACACTGCATGTTGCCAACACTGGACATAACACATCGCTCAGCCATGGCTTCCCGAAGATCAGCCCGTTTATTTCATCAAGAGGGCTTGCGTCTTACCAACACACCAGGCAATACCACGCTAGAGTGTCTTCCAATCGAGATCTTCCTTTTGATTGCCGAGATGATGGTACATGATGCCGAGACCTCTGCTCAGCCACTGACGTGGAATGCGACTTATGATTCCCGGGACAAACGCCCTAAGCTCGAGCTCAACCGTCGCCAACGACGTCTCGCATTGCTACGCTTCAGAATGATCCGAGACGTATCCCAGATCAACAAGCTTTTCAGGCACGTTGTGTTGAAAGTCTTCCGACCAGACTTTGAAGTCTTCCACCGTGGCCGGGCAATCGCTCTCGCTGTAGTGCTACTAGATATCGATGCCTTTGCTTCATGCCATGCGGTCATCTACCAGCGATCAAGACTAGGTGTTGCCTCTTTCATTGCACAATTGACCGAATTGCAGCCTGAGTTCCAGAACATTCATCTAAGGATGCGACCCCACTCCTTTGTGTATGCTTTCACTGGTGGACGCGGCTCCAGATACCGCAATCCCATGGCGGAACTTCTTGCGCTCAAAGGCATCACTCTTGACGAGGACTGCGGGACCCCGGAATCTCTGGGACGCAACCGGCTTTACAGGATGTTGAACCCCATTCCACGCAACGCGAAGAGACTTCAAGTCATGGAGAAGTCTCTGGGACCCCAATTCTACACACTCTGGATGACGTACTTTAACCCGCGAGGCGTGCGTATGTTCGTAAACTTTTGCGACACACCGAAAACACAGTTCGAGCTAATTTCTACCTTGCGGGGCCTGCGAATTCGAGGAGCGTAGCGAGGCTGGATAGCAAGACGCACCATTGTCTCAGCGTTGAGTCAGAACGAGGTACTAGCTAGGGGTTTATGGATGTCTTCGACATTGGCTAGGGGCTAGTCTATCGGGATGGGCGGTGGATGTTGAAGGTGTCAGATTAGCCCAGACACCTTAGAGACGCTGGCGGTGACCTTGGTCGGCTTTTAGCATTGGTACCACTACATACTTATTGAACCCAGACCTGACGTATGCTTTTCCATTAATCTGGGTTATCGTCTGGTCTTTTGCTGTTGTGTTTTCTTTAGTAGTCGCATTATTCTTACTTGGCCTGATTGCTATGACTTAATCTCAGTCGAACACTTTTTCTCTTCTTGGTCAATGAACACCAAGATATGGGGGCATGCATTCTTCGGGCTGGAAATTTCCTGGCAGTAAGTTAGGTTTACGTTCAATGAGATACAGCAGATCAAAGCAAGATAACTGTGGATGGGAGCTGTTAGTGCTCAGTTATATTCAAGATTGTATGTACTGTCCACCATCTTCCCGACATTTAAGGGTCCACCTTGCTCAGAAGACAAAGTTCGCGGCCACACCCTTGACCAAGTTCTGGGCGAGAAGCTTGTGGATAGCTAGGCCGGCGTGATAGTTGTCGGCCCAGATGCAATCACTGGAGCCGTAGCAGGTAGCATCCTTGGCGCCGTATTGCGCAAAGTTCTCGACAACGGTGTCGAACGAGGGCTTGGTGTCAAAGACGAGACCCTTGACGCCGCTGTTGGCGGACTTGAAGGTGGCGAGGCGGGTCTCGAGGGCGGCGTTGTACGAGGTGATGTCGGAGCGCAGGCGGGCCAGGTCGGTCTCGGACTGGCCGATCATGGCAGGAATCTGATCAGAGAAGGCTGGCAGAGGTGTGTTAGAACCAAACAAGTTGAAGAGGAGGTTGGTTTCGGGGTGTAACGTACGAGGCACGGAGAGCAGGACAAAGTTCTTCAGACCGTCATCGGCAAGAGTCTGAAGGAGCTCAAAGTAGCGGTCCATAATCTTGGTGACGGGTGCAGACACCTTATCCCAGAACGGCTCACCGACATCGTTAATGCCGATCCAGACAGCGACGAGGGCGTTGTTCTTGTTCACGGCGCTTGACACGTACTGCTTGTACTGGTCAACCTGGTCGTCGACGCAGTACTGGGCATAAGTGTCGACGATATCCTTATCGGTGGTGGCGCCAGTCACAGCAAAGTCGTAGGTCAAGATAGTGGATGTGTTGAGAGTGCTTGTGAGATGGCCGACCCAGTTCAGACCGCTAGAGGTGGTCTGGCCGGGCAGGGAGGGGTTGCCGAGCGGGTTTCCGGCAGCCGGGAGGGTGCCGCCGGGCCAGAAGCCGACAGTGGAGTAAGAGTCGCCGCTACAGGGAGGGCATCCGAGTCAGATGGAGCTCTCTTCCTCTCTTATCATTCCGCAGATATGGATGTACGGAACGGGTAGCATGCGGGTGACTTACAAGACAATCAAGTTCTTGGAACTGTTGGTCTGTCTCGGGAAGACGGCGGGGGTGGGACTGGCAAAGGACAGGGACAGGCCGGCTGCCAGGGAAAGGGCTTGGGTGAAGGACTTCATTTTGGGCCAGGGATTGTAACGTTGTGTACCAGCAAAATATCAACAATGAGAAGGATAGTGAATAGGAAGAATGAGAAGCGAATGAGAGGTTGAGAAACCGTGCAGGGAACACCAACGAGAGACGGAACGACTGTGAATAGTACAGGTAAACAGTTCAGACGGCCGGCTCGCGTGGGACGCGTGGTGCTTTACATATTATACCAGCGGCTTGGCTCCCCCTTCCACCCGTTGACCAAGAGCAAGAGAGTTCGGCACCAAGGGGCTCTTGATCAAAAAGACTTCGTCACTCTGCGTTTGCAGTACATTGATTTCCCCATACTCGGCCAACGTGCCTTTCAATGCGATTGGTGGAACTCCCAGTTGAAGCTCGGGCCTGGACGGTGCAAATTCCAAAAGGGGCGAGATTGCAGGCGCTCCGCTGGGGCATGCGGGGCCGAAGCGCGCCATCGGGCTCCTTTTTGGTGTTTGAACTCGACAGATGTTGCGGTTAGCCGCTGTATCTCGGTCTCTATTTGGTCTGCTGGTGCCGCTGACTTTTGTGGTCCGGATCTGGCAGGTTTCCTATTTAGACGAGTTGCCAGCTTGAGGTTGTTAAACTTCAAAAGGCTTTGGCGCGAGTTGAAGAGACAAAACATATGCTCATCCCCGCGTTGGAGTCACCATCTTTAAGTTTCAATTTCAGCACATTAGTCCCCACAACGCTGAGCGAAGCTTCCTTCAGGCATCTGCATAACTCCAGATCAAAGTATGTGATGGAGATTCAATGTTCGCAACCTGATGAAGATAATGCAGTGGAAAAGTTTTGCAGTTTTGCGAAAAGTCTTGCAGTCTTTATTTCGCTAAACTCCTGGACCCTATTGATGTACGAAGAAAGGAAAATAGAGTGACTTCTACACCCTGCAACAGGGTTCCTCCGTAGTCATCTAGAACGCGGGGTTGGCATTCTCCAACAACTGCACAAAGTACTCTTGGAACCAAGTTCCGGCTTCCGGGGCCGGAATCACAGAGGATGCAGAGCTGCACTTCTCATCATAGCGAGCCGCAGTCGAATCGCTCGTACCATCAGCTTCACCGCCGGGCTTGACCCAGACAAAGGCATCCAGTGTATCGATGCCAGTCTTGACGTTCGGTCTCGTGCCGAAGCCAGTCTCCTTGATGTTGCACCAGTCACCCCAAATCTGGCGTCCGGTCGGCTGCTTGCCGCTGCGGCCCTGGTCGACGAGGTAGTTTGCCGGGTACCCAGCCTCCTTGAGGAACGGCGTCAACGCGGCATGGAACTTGGACTCGTCCCACTGCTTGTTGCTCTCTGCGTAGGCGGGGGCGCTCGTCAGGTTCCAGCCGTTGTAGTTTGACACGTTTGTGACCAAGCCACGAACTGCCTTGGGAGAACCGGCCTTCTTGTATAGTTCGCTGTAAAGCTCGGCAGTAGGCTTCAGGTTCGCTTCCCAGCCCAACCATCCTGCATGGCCCGCATCCACGTAGATTGCGACGTTGTCGAGGTTGAGGGTCTTGAAGGCGTAGTCGGTGCCTTCCTTGTACGCATCGGCTGCGCCAGTGCACTTCGCCACGTTCATGTTGGTGATGAGATTGGCCAATCCATCGGGTTCTGCTCGTCATCAGCATACCATAGACGTAGAGCCCCAGATAACGTCCCAGGAACTTACCATAGACGAAGACTTGGCGAACATCCGAGTACTCCTTGGCGAGCGCGGCAATAGGATCGATGTACTCTTTCTTGTACTTCTCAACACCGCCGTCGGCAATCACGAGCTCGCCTGCGGAGGCCTTGGCAGAGCAGTCACGGTCCGGAAAGTTGTAGATGACATAGGTGCCAGCGTACGGCGGGTTGGCGCCCTCCTGGTTCAGCTTACGGATCTGCGCCAGAGTGCTGTTCATCAGACTAATCTTCTCGCGTGTATCACTGCGGTTATCAGCAGACGCTCGTAAAGTATGATGGCCCTAGGGCCTGGCTCTGAACACTAACAGCCATGCGAATGTGGGCACCTCGGCGACCTTGGCTGCC